ACACACACACACACACTACTTAAAACCTCTCCACAAAATAGATGCAGGCTTTCTGTGTCAAAACATGCGTACATAGCGTGCGCACACATACACGCACGAACATACACGCCGCAGTTACAGGTTGATGTGAGGTGGAAGTCGCTTACCAAAGCCCTTCCAAGAAGAAGAGAGTAATGACAGTGGTGCTCCTGCAGAACAAGTGGACTCGCGAAGAGTCGACAGAGTCTCCATAACACACAATCCACTTTCTGTTTCTCACTGTGGACATTATTGGCAGGCTATGGATTTAGAGCTGGAACTAAACCTCACAGGTGCTTCTGTCATTACCAGACGGGACACACACACAGAACAGAAACACACACACTTAGCAGTTAGCCGTGTGTGCAAAAGAGAGGACTGCCCAGTGTCTGTTTTAATCAGTGCCGGCCGTTCTGCGTTGCATACCATGCCACTGATACCAGCGCCTGTTCATTTAAGCTGCAGATGCTTTTTATCAGTTTGAGCGAAAACATTTTATCTTAACCTGCTGGGGGTTCCTTTGAAAGGCCTTTGTTATTGCTCTGAGCCTTCCTGTGTGTGTGTAACCTGAGAGAGCTCTGCTGCCTGGCCAAGCCCAAACACACTTGTACACACACACACACAGCAGGTTCTGTTTAGTGGAAATGGAAGAGTTGGGCTAAGCCTGTGTGTGAAGTTTAAGTCCTCGTCGTTCTCATACTCCACAAACCATATTGCATAAATATGAGTTATTCTCTGTGCATCTTTACATGCATTGATCTGAGTAAATACACAGGCGAGCATCACTTGCATATTTCCATGTGCGTGTGTGTGTGTTTCTTAAGGGAGGAAATCAGGCTGTAATTGAGACATGCAGACAATATGTGTTCTATTGAGGGAATGTTTCATATCATGTGGGTTTGTAATGAGAACCTCTGGTTGCCTACAAAGCCATGTTAGGCAGAGTTTTTAAGGCTTATGTATTCTTATGTGTTTTTGTGGGCTAAACCGCCACAGATTTTAAACTGTTTTTGCCAAAAAAAATGCACTTTCCCTCGACCACACTTGACAACAAACAAGCACTCAGATCTGCCGTAAGTACTTTTTTTTTTGTAATTTGATAATAATCTCCTTGTCTGATTAGTAACTTTGTTTTTGTAATGTAATTATGTTATCCAAGTGAGCGGATTACAGTGACCGCCCAACACTGGATTAAAGGGGGCTAAGCAAGCGCTGAGGACATTCTCATAGTGTCTGTTTCGTCCATCCAGCTCCACAGACAAAGGCCTGGGCCTACCTGCTAAGCCCTTCTTTTGATTTGATTGGAAAATAGCCTCTGGTGGAAGCTCTGACTGGATAAGCAACAGTGTGTTGTACTCACGCCAGCTTGGAGCAAGGATGCTGGCACTTACTCCAGTGTGTTTGTATGTGTGTGTGTGTGTATTTCCTATTAATTTGGCTGGCGTGTTGTTGGCACGGTGGGTATGTGCGCTGGAAGTAGGGCAGAAACAATGAAGCAGGAGGTAATAGACAACACATGGACCAAGGAGGAAGTACTGAGTAAGCCACGTAAGAGATTCTCCCTCTTTTCTTTTTGTCCCCGTATCTCTATCTTTGCTGTCTGTCATCATCTCTTTCTCAGCGCAATCGCTTCCACTGTTCTTATTTCTCCCCTTTCGCTTCCACAAATTTACTGACTCTAATTTCTCTCATCGTTTGGGTAGTTTGAAGAAGTTGAAGACTTTGACCCCAGCATTGCAGTCACCAGCTGCCCATTTACTCTGCCATCACATTACTTAATAGAGTCATCACAGACTGCCACCGCTTCACATTATTAACTGTTACCTTCCTTTTAAAGCGAGCAGGAGATTTTTATATAGGAGATCAATGATTGATGGAAACCTAATGATTTTTTTCCCGTGATACACACCTGGAGTACGACAAATCTCCTGCTTAGGGGGCTAATTTATTCTCTCTCATTACTTCAAACCGGCCTTTTATTTCCAATAACCTGCTTCGTTCTCGGAAGACTGGAATGTTTATCTGAGCAGCTCTCTCTCTGTTTGTCCATGTCTGAATGTGGACTGGCAGGGCTTGAGTGATTTAGTGGTTGAGCGAGTTAATGAAGAAGAGGGGAGTGAAAGGGGCAGAGAGAGAAAGGAAGTGTGGATGAAAGATCT